CTCGATACCAGCGTCAGCTGCGAGTGTGAGCGCATGTTCAGTGAGCTTGGGGATCTACTAGAGCCTCGCCGACGAGGCATGCAACCGCAGCTTTTGGCGGCGATACAGTGCGTACGACGGTGGCGTAAAGCTGGTTTAGGCAACGATAATATTAGCTCAAAAGTCACTATAAGTGATGATAGTATAGAGACGTTGTATGAGCTGAGTAAGTGGGATAGCGATATCAATAGTGATAGCGAAACTCAACACCAAGAATAGTCGCTGTAGCTATAGCTAATATTATCTACTTAACTAGCTTTGAAAAAGACGCTATGACCATCAAGCTCATCAAGCTCATCAATCAAGCTGGCTTGATACACCAAGCCAAGCTGAGTCAAGCCAAGCCAAGCTGACAGTTTTGCTTTTGCCTATCAAGCTGAGGCAAGCCAAGCTGGAGCTTGGCTTGGCTTGATTGTTGACATCTCTGCTTGGGAGTCATTCATGTTTTCTGTAATGTGTCAACAGCCATTAGATTTTGGTCCATCCTCTGAATAATATATATGCATGTAGCAAGACCATCATCCCTCCATGCTATCACGTTTGAAAAATGCCATCATATCACTATCCACACGTTCATTGGGCAAGGCCTGTTGTCAAATCAGTATCTAGAAAGCCTACACGACTTGAGTATCTGCGCATGAATCTACTTGAGAACCACGCCGAGCGATGCGTTACGTGTGAACCACTATTGTACAATCGAAAGCCACCCTTCTGCCGCCGCGGCTGCCTCCTGGAAGACCTTGTTCTCCGCGACTTCATAGTAAAAGAGGATGGACGGGTATACAGTACTGAAAAGGAACGTGGACACTTAGTTCGGGTGGAAGTTCCCGATCAATATTATGCTATCATAGCGTTACTTGAGCAAGTGGATCACCGTCGCATTCGCAATCATTAATATTGCCTGCTATTCTGGGCTAAGATTAAGCAATTGGGATGGCTCGAACCCGTATTCTAGATAGCAAGGCTAGTTTATCACCTATCAAGCAGTGCTAAAATGGCCCCTAGAGGACCCAACACATGAGAGGCCAATTACTGTTACTTTTCCGAGTTTTAGTGAACCTTTGATGATGATTGCAGTACGTGAATCTGATCAGCGAGCCAATCAAAAGAGGAAATTTTCAGCCATGTCCTCCTTCCCCGCCAACCGCGACTTGAAGCTCGACATGGGGTAGTGTTATGAATCACACAGATATCGCTATTGGCAGCGGCACTCCTTTTGTCGGCTTGTTTTTCCTGTTGTAGGTATCGATAAAACCACGGGGTCCGAGTTTGCCGCGCGAATTTCGTGCCACCTGGGCGCTTAAAAATGATGTTGGCAAGCCATCCTTGTCTGATATTGCCGCGCCGCCTCAACAAACGCTGATCCGCTGATCCGTGCATCTGCATCCTGCAAACCACTCGCGAACCGCCCGCACTAAGCCCCCGATTCCAGAAGCGAGTCCGCATTGTGTAGCGCGCAACGGGCGAGTGGCTGTGTTCAACTAAGATATGTCAGACTTAAATCGCTACAGAAATCTCGCTGTCGCTCCCAGACTGAAGGCACACTTGCCAAAGACTACTTGCACACATACAAGCACGATGATTTCGACACATTCTTCCAAGGCTAAGATATCTTGTAATTAGATCATTGAGATAAATCATATAAGATATACGCTGACATGTAGAGCAGCACAATTAGCTCCCATTTGCACCCCATCGCAAAACGTGTCTGAAGAACCACCTAAGGCACCAATTCTAGCTGCGAACGAACACACGCTAAAAGCCAACACATCTTCACAATCTTCACTCGCGATCACAACCACAAAACTCAAAACACGATCGAGTGGGCCATCTTCAGAGAGCGGATGTCGCAAGACACCACGGTTAAAACCTTCTTCTTTGCCAATCGAGGACGTAGAGCAGGAAACTCCACCAAGTGCTTCCCAACCCTCAGTTGCCCCTAGTTCTCCGCTTACCGCCATTGAGAGACCGGCCCACATTTTCACGATGCAATCCGAGCTACAAAAGTTAGGCCCACTATCATCTCATCCACACTAACGGGTTCGAAACAGTCGAGAAGTGCTGTTCAGACAAATCTTGAAGGACAGTATTGTTTCTGCGAAAACCGCTGAGAGTATCACTCTACGTGCCACAATCGCACAGGAAGTCAAGGCAAGCGTCCAAGGCCTCTTAGCAGCCGAGGAAAGGGACCCAAAGCGTACTCTCACGATTGTCAGGTCGCGGAGCAGAAGTTACTGGAGCAGTATTCACGAAGAGATTTATCGCAGCGGCTCTGAAGACAAGACAGTTACGGATCACATCAAGAATATCGCAGAACGCGAAGCCATCCATCAGCTGTACTCACTGAGGGACATTGAACGTATACTCTTCTATTAGTCCAACAATCAGCACGTCAAGTCTTACGGAGAAATCGCCTACGAGTTGTGTCTGCCGCTTGGCGTGCTCTCATCATGGATTCTATGCTATGTACAATAGATTGTTAAATTATACAAATATATGCATGTTTATCAGATTATAGCGCTTATTGGTCGGAGTGGGCTGTCTCGTATCAAACCCACGTGTTCGTGCAATGCGCTCCTTTAGCGAGGTGGATAACCCTGTCGAGGCTGCAGCTGAAAGGCGATTGCCGCCAGCTGCTGCCAACTACCGTTCTCTATTTCCGCTTAATCGGTTCCGTATCCACCAAAGCTCCGCACGTTTCCTGACACACTAATCAGGTGACCGTAAGCGGACAAAGAGTCTTGGAAGCCGTGCGGGACGCTGTCACGTACAGCCACCTGTTTTGTCAGGGATGTACGTAAGCTTTTCAAATATAGTGCCCCTTACATAGGTGCGAAGAGTTCAACAGGTGATTCGAGGCGAGCAATGTGATAGCCGTGCGGGACGCTGGCTAATCAGATACAAGCACACCGTATCTTTTACGGTATAAAAAGCCTAACGAGATGACTTAAACGCAACAAGGCAAACCGCGCGGGACGCGGTTGTGTACGGCTAATCACCTTTCGCCATAACATCGTATCCCCTGCGGGATAGAGAGCCTAGCGGGATGCCTCAGCAGGTAACAAGTAAGCCGTGCGGGCTTGGGTCGTGTATGGCCAATAATCCCATCAGGGACATGATTAGCTGTACGGGGTAAACAGCCGTACGGGACGCGGCTGTGTACGGCCGACTATTTGGTCAGGGATACAGTCGCCACGAAACGGCATCCCTTACGGAGTAAAGAGCCTAGCGGGCGAGTCAGTGAGGCAAACTTGAGGCCGTGCGGGACGCGGCTGTGTACGGCCGACTATTTGGTCAGGGATACAGTCGCCACGAAACGGCATCCCTTACGGAGTAAAGAGCCTAGCGGGCGAGTCAGTGGGCAAACTTGAGGCCGTGCGGGATTTCGGCCTACAAAGCCAGCCAATACATTCAGAATATGATGCCACAAACTCCCGCTTAACTCTGCTCCCCTTACGGGATTGTAAGCGCCCTCTTGCTGTCCTAGTAACACTAATTCAAACCTGTAGGGGACATACGGCTGTGTGTGATACAGAGAACGGGAATGTACCACAGCAACGCCGTATACCGCAATACGCTTATGGAAACTTGCTGTAGTAATATGTCTCCGTGGAAAGGAAAGGGCATAATCCACGGCGTCACACAGTACCATTCAGAGCAGGAAACATTGCAGCGGTGTGCCGTGTATTATAGGAAAGCATTGACATGACGATACAAGAGGTATTCTATTTCAAGTAGTAATTGTGTAGCGCATTGTGCTTACAGTGAAGTTAGGAGAAGTAGTCTCAGCTATAACGCAGCTGGATCAGAGAAGCGGCGCACTGCATGGCATCTATCATTTTCTCTCTTTGCCTCACTGCACTTGCTAACTGGGCAATGTGCTCATCCTTGCGCCGAATTTCCTCTGATAGTGTACTAACTATGCGGCCTAGATTGGCAGTACGATATGCCAACTGAGCAGCTTGGTCTTCAAGGGTTGCAACATCTAGTAGCATCCTCTTCTTCTCGCGGCGCATGGTTGCTCGGTGAATTTGGAGATTGATGTTGCTTTGAATGTGTCTTTCCTCTGCAGCAGCTGCTGCATTTCGTTCTTCTGTGATTCGAGTTGAGAGGGTTCGCAAACAAGTTGCAAGCGCATGACAGGTTTCGCACCTATGGCCCTTAGAGTAACGTTAGTACACATTTCACGCAGCCAACGACTCATATTACATGCCTGGCTAACCTTATCTATAGTATGCTGGACTAATATATGAGAGAATGTAAGTTGGGTGTTAAAGTGGTGTTAGGGTACAAATTACTTATGACGACTTGGTATTGGACTTTATATGCCATCTTAGCGCCGAGCACTCACTTGGTCACATTGCATCTATTAATAAACCATCTATGGACATCCAATGCTTAAACTCCTACCCCCGCTCCTTGATAGTATCTAAACCCAGATGGTTTGCTCGTCTGAGATTCGCTGGGTTGGAAAGCGCTGTTTTGGAAATCGATCTCATGCGAGCTTGATCTAATAGCTTTTCTTGCGCGCAGCTCAAAATTTGGGCTTCCACACACTATCATTATCAGTTACATGTGCTATGAGAGCCCCTGATACCTTACCAGCTACCAGCATATTACCAGCTTCAGCACCCCACTCTCTCTTAATGAACCAAGACATATCAAGTCTCGATGTCAGAGACATCATCCTAGGCCTTTGGGGTCGGTTGCTTGTTACTGGCTGTGTAGTAGAGTCTCCAGGTTGACTAGGGTAAAAGCAGAAGACGGTAAGAATTTGTCTCTGATCTATATCGTTCAGGGCATAGAGAAATTCTTCTACCATACAAATTTGATCTAGAAGATGCATTAGCTGAACGTCTTGAGTTGGATATGAACAAAGATACCGTGATTTTTAAGTACCCAGAGAATAGTTAATCGTCTAACACGTGCAGTCTGACGATCATGTGCAAATAATAGATAACGAGCTGTGTACAGATGAGCCGCGATGCCGATACCATTCGACATGAGCAAGATTTTATCATAATTGACGAAAGAGCTTGCCTCTACCCCGCCGTAGGGGCCATCGACGAGTGCAGATATATCTTTTCTACAACTTTGTAGTTTGCGGGTGAACCCTCGATAGCACTGGACGAGAAGCATAATTGTCGTTGCTTGACCCTTCTCATTTTCCGAGACCCAGGCTATCATAAAAGGATGGGATTCCCAGAACCCAAAACCGAGGGTGCAGAGCCGGGGTAAAGAAAGATATACGAACTGTCCAGGCACTACAATCCACGGCCGCTTTATGTTAATTTTGATTTGTATGATCTCATCTTCCATCCCGATATGCGTACTTCGTGATATTGTTGCTTGAGAGGTTGGACTAGACCTAATATTGCGATACACAAACTACAAAAACTAAGTGGCTTTTTGCACTACGTATATCGAGGCTGCAGTAGTAACGCATACAAGGATATAAGTGTTAAGGATCCTAACATGGAGCCAAAGTAAGACTATAGTAGCGATAGCAAAGACTGAATGCGTTTTAAGGAACAATTCGTAGATTCTCCGTCTGACATGGAGAATTAAAGTCGCCCCAATTGTGCATAAGACGGAGAGGAGCTACATGCAGTGTTAATCATGTTAACATATAATGCCCAGTGTACACAAGTAACATACCAAGAGGTTAATTAGATTGATAGCTGAGCGCGATTGCGAGAACTTAAGTAGCGCATGAACTAATCCCTCAATTACTGTGACGCGCCCAACCCATCGATGCAATAACTGATGTTCGGTATAGGATAGCCTAAAATCCTTGTCTAGTAAGATGTTAGACCTGCCTCTAAGGTAAAGGATTACCAAGTTTGTGATGCTAAGTTTCGCCAGACGTGATGATAGCTCATCCCGAGTTCGGACTAAAAGAGCAGATCCGACACAGTTGGCGACAATAAGCAGCACGATAATAGTGCCTGCCATGACCGTAACATCCGAGCTACCACTCAGCCTTCTCGTAATCACAGTATATACCACCCATTTTGTGAAGGTTGAAAAGATACGCTGGCGGGCTCGTGTAATGAGATATTGAGAAAGCCTCCAGCCTAGTAAAAGCCCTATCGCTGACGCATACGCTATCGCATATACTAGGATAACTTGCATGATTACCTTTGTAATTTTGTTTGGTTTGAAGCTGCTGTCTTAATGAACATAGCTATATGTCGTCCATAAATGTGGAGTGCAAGCAAGCGGATTCTGGTGTGTGCGCCCTAGAACGGCATTTACCGGCATATCGTGGCATGTCCCGTTCCCGGTTCCCTGCTCCAGATTCCCCACAACAGTGTGGTGGGTCTAAGCCACATAATAGCCGCCAGCAAACACCAACGCCGGTTGCGTTCATGAGTAGAATAGCCGCTGGGTGCGCTGCTAGTGTGTTTCACGCCGCCGCCTGCGCCTCTTACAAACGACATGAAGACGGTTTCCAGGAACTGTAACAAGATCATGTGACAGAACCTTTAGCACCTTATCTACGTGACCGTCGACGCAACAACCAGCATTCAGACAACTCTATCACTGCGCATAACTCACACCACATTCACCAAGTATCAAAATGCCACGTGCCCCACCTCAGAACCTTTCCCGATCCTTCAACACCCGCTGTACAGGGATATTCAAAAAAGCAGCGGAGCTCCATCAGATTGATGATAGGGTTCGGATATCGATTGTCGTGGAGAAGCCTGGAGTTACACCTCTTGTCTTTACTACAGACGAAAGAGGACAGAACTGGCCACCCTTCGTCGAGGACTACGTAGGTTCATTCTTATTCCAATAGCAGTTGTGCTCACCGTATCAGGTCAAGAGAAAGCATCCCTTAATCAAACGGCCCTCCCACTACCAAAGCGTTATCGATGGTATCTCGCGTGGCCATGTGCAGATTGTCTGCACACCTTCTCTTTCTCCACCTCCGCCCTACATACCTGAGAATGCCACTGAAGGTGGAGGAATGGATGCAGAAGGTTACATGGAAGCGGGTGGATTCTCAGACAGCCGTCAAGGTCTCCAGCAGCCGGGAGAGGGGTGGTATCTTCCCACAACCCCGCCTCGACCTATGCCAAGCCGAACATCTACGTCTAGTCCGTTGCCAAAGAACTTCATCCTTCCATCCAAGATGAACGCATATCCTGAATAGGATCTGTGTTTTGCTTAGCATATAGGATAATTGGTGTGGTAACGTCCCTCCCTGAGTGCTGGGACACCCGCCGTGCTAGGACAAATGAGGGGTACTTTGACTTTCAGCACTTCGCTTTCTGCGCGCACGCTAAAATTCTTGAGAATACTATGGTAGTCGTATACTAGAGCCATCTGTTAACCCATTTTAACACATCTAAATAAAAATTACATTGCTATTGCGGCTTTTCTTGCGTAAGTTACAGCAGACTATCTTTCCATGTACAATAGCATTGCTTTACTACAGCGCTATATAGAAGCTTGTAGCGCCTAAAAAACTCTAGAAGATTACGGCTATATCTAAAAGACCTTGTAATAACGCAGTAAGCTACTTTCAGCCTTGTAGCGCCTGCAATGCTCATGTTTATGCAAAATCGCGGTCGTGATTAGTACCTTGGTTCGCGCTAAGCGGCTCTGCACATCTTATATAATCACCCTTATGTAATATATCGCTAGCGGCTTTAGGGCTGTGGCGCAGCATTAGTAGGCGGTCTAGTTAGACATGAACCCGAACGCGGACGTCGCTCTTGAGAGAAATTGTTAATAACAAGACCCCTACTACTTAGACAGCGGTCGTTTGCTTTATAGTAGAGAATGTACACTAGTTATACTTTGTATTAAAGCGAATCTGTATGACCATGGTACTAGAGAATCCTAAGCAGAACCACATGACCAGATGCAAGCCCCAGACAAGCTCTATCCTCGCGTACTGTGGTTGAGTTTGATCGATACTCTGGAGGAAGCCATAAGTAACGTTGTTGGTTGCGTAATATCCACTGTTTCGGCACTAGAATGTACGATGACTGCTGCGTCGGCCTCAAGAGCGATGTACCAACAGAGGCTTGAGGCAAAGGAATATCGCCTTTGTTTGTGTGTAGTACCTGGCCATTTGGTGAGAAATTGATATAAGTGATGTACTCAGAAAAGCTTTTAAGCGTGCTGCGACACGTCCCTGTCGCCGCCTCCCACAGCCGTACTGTCTTGTCTGAAGATGCTGACGCGACTAGCTGCCCGTCTGGCGAGAAGGCTACCGCCCAGACATAGTCGGAATGGCCCTCGAGCGTGCTGCGACACGTCCCTGTCGCCGTCTCCCACAGCCGTACTGTCTTGTCTGAAGATGCTGACGCGACTAGCTGCCCGTCTGGCGAGAAGGCTACCGCCCAGACATAGTCGGAATGGCCCTCGAGCGTGCTGCGACACGTCCCTGTCGCCGTCTCCCACAGCCGTACTGTCTTGTCCCCAGATGCTGACGCGACCAGCTGACCGTCTGGCGAGAAGGCTACCGCGGTGACACTAGAGGAATGGCCCTCGAGCGTGCTGCGACACGTCCCTGTCGCCGCCTCCCATAGCCGTACTGTGTTGTCATCAGATGCTGACGCGACTAGCTGCCCGTCTAGCGAGAAGGCTACCGCGGTGACATAGTCGGAATGGCCCTCGAGCGTGCTGCGACACGTCCCTGTCGCCGCCTCCCATAGCCGTACTGTGTTGTCATCAGATGCTGACGCGACTAGCTGCCCGTCTGGCGAGAAGGCTACCGCGGTGACACTAGAGGAATGGCCCTCGAGCGTGCTGCGACACGTCCCTGTCGCCGCCTCCCATAGCCGTACTGTCTCGTCCCAAGATGCTGACGCGACCAGCTGACCGTCTGGCGAGAAGGCTACCGCGGTGACACTAGAGGAATGGCCCTCGAGCGTGCTGCGA